CCCCTCACCCCACACCTCCCCCCCGGGGGAACCCTCAACCCCCGGAGCCCCCCAGCCCCGGGAGGAAGCGGATCCCGGCGGCAACCCCTATTACCGGCCCCGGGGCACCGGGGATGGATGAAGCCACGGTGATGGCTACCGTGAGCCCTGCCTGACCCTCCCGGACACCGTGGCCTCGTCCCCTCCTGTTTGGGGACTGGGTGGTTCAGCCCTTCGAGGAGCAAACCCACAAAAATATATATTTTATTTTCTTTTTCCCACCCAATTCCTCATCCTTTGGGAGGAAAAAAAACAGGATTTAGCACTCTGTAAAAGCCATATGTACCACACGCTCGTCGCAACTGTTGTCTGCTTGTAGATCTAAGGGCTGGCGCGCACAAAAGCTTGTTCCTCTCCTTCCTATTAACGGCATGAATTAATTCTAATAATTAATTCGCCACAAGCGCTGCCATCACTGATGTACCGGAGCCGGCCCAGGGACCCACGCACGCGATGAGGTCACCTAACCGAGGACGGAGCAGGCATTGATTTGGTTGCGTAAATCCCTCGGCCCCTCCAGCTCTCCTGGCGCCCGTCCTACCCCCACTCTCTCCCTTTCCCACTCCCGCTCCCACTCCCGCCGTTCCCTCTGACTGCAGCCGTACCGCGGGCCGTGGGGAGCGAGCAATTAATGGCAGGAGAAACGCACCTCCCTTCCAGATGGCCGGCCTGGCTTAGAACGTGCATTTCTCCCTTTTTTCTTCACCGCTCACGAAAAAAACAGCGCCCATCCAAAGCCCAATCCCGGCTTGCGGGGAAATCATTTCATTTCCGAAATTTAAAGACAATCTCCGCAGATTAAAATGATGGAACAGCTGTGAAGCCATAGAGTAAAGTGAAAGAGGGAGGGGGGAATCGGCCCATCTTCTCCCTTCCCCCCCATCGCCCAAGGTAACACCGGGCAAAAAATTGTCTTAAAAGGAAAAATTTAAAAAAAATCGGGTCTTTTTCTTGGGTAATAACCTGGTCAGCAGTTAAGCAGTGGCCACTGCTGTCAGGGATCAGAGCCCACTTTTGGAAGGGGCGAAGGGGGTTTGTGCCGGTGGAGGCTCTCCGGGGCTATGGCTAAATCCCGGTGGAGAAGAACCCCTCGAATGATGCCAGCAGTTCCCCTGAGTTCATCCGAAGGCGCAAACCGCCTTTCCACACAGCCGTGGGGTGGAGGGAGACCTTTGGCATCACCCCCGGCATCTCCCCACCACCCAGACGCCCCTCGTGGCTGCTGCCCGCCCTGAGCCAGCGCCGAGCTGGCCGCTCGCGAGTCCTACCAACTGTTTGAAGCAACGATTTTCACTTTTCCACACCTCTCTCCGGACCCACTAAGCGTCTTGCCATGGGCAGCCCAGTGGAAAATGAATTTTAACCCTCCGAGAGCATTCACAGCCCGCTTAGAAACAGGCTGAGAGCCCCAGGCACTCGGCAGACCGCCCGTCGCCAACAGCGTGTCCAAGTTCTGCCTGTCAGCCAGGCGAGGACCGGATGAAAAGAGAGGCAGAGAGGAGGGAAAGCATCCCTGCTCGCATCCCGGAGCCGCTTTGCCCTCGGATGCCGGGCGGGTTTGAGCCTTGGGTGGGTTCAGAGCAGATTTTTGACGCGGCTGGTCCTAGGAGCTTTGCTCAGTCCGAATTTCTATCTAAGCGTTCGCTAACAGTAAGAGACTTGAAGTCAGGACCGATTTTTTCCAGCTGGGTTAGATGGGTCAGCTACCATGTAGCCTCCCTGTCTGAGAAATTAAGGGAAAACGGCTCTTGACGAGCAGAAACGCTCGGCCAAAGCAGCTAGGTGAAAATTAGCACGCGATTCCCGGCGGCGGCGGCTGGGACGCGGTCCCCCCCCTTTGGCAGGGATGCTCCCTCGCCAGGACGTGCCTCGCGGAAAAAGGGGACCACGAGGTTGTTCTCGGCAGCCGCTTGCAGCCCAGGCTGGTTGGGGAACCGGGTTGGGAGGGACGGAGCGAAGGGAAGGAGCTCCGGTGAGGTCTCGCCGCTGCTGGCGGCTCTCCCATCCCTTTGGCTCTTTGGCTCATGGCCTTTCCGAGGTGGCCAGTGTCCCACAGGGAGGTGGAAGAGGGCAACCAGAGGGTGCGGGAGGGCTGGTGACCGAGGTGGTCGGTTTCCCATTTGCTTTTCTTTGGGCGGCTGAAGCCTTCCTTATCCCCGAAATATATTCAAGTAAGAATGACTCATCCTTCCTCCTCCCAGGACTCTAACCTGCAGTAATGAGATGTAAATCCTTGCATGACCCATTATATTAGCTTATGCTATATCACACATCTCCGTGGATTAGACGGGAGGGAGACGAAACGTCCCCCGGTAGCAGGCAGCCTCAGACAAGGCGGTGGAAGTTAAGCAGATCCTCTCGCCGGCGTTGACACCTGATTTGAATAGGATGCGAGCGGTTCGGTTTCCTCCGCCGCCGTGAGAGGGATCATTTCGGCTCTTCTCGCCAGGTAGCGGGAGAACTGGCTCCAAAGCCAGACCTGGAAGCTCTCCCTTCAACCGGGGTTTCATGGGATGCTCCAGAGATCCCTGGAGGGGATCAGAATTGGGCAGGAGTTCCCGGAGCGGCGGGTTCTTGGACTTACCCCGTAGGTTGTAGAGGGGAGGGGAAGGGTCTGTCACCTCCCCTGGCAGCGCAACAGCAACAAGGCCACCGAAGGGCAGCGCTCGCATCCTCGCCAGCCTGAAATCCAGGGGAAGGCAAAGGTTTAAACCTTTGAAGACCCTGAGTAGGTGAGTTAATCCTGGAAAGATTGTGTGTGTGTGCTGGAGCGGCGCCGGGGGAGGAAATGAGAAGGCATTTCTAAATAAAGCAGGCAGCTTCTCCGCTGGGAGAAGTCACGCTTGCACTCGGCGGCTGATTGTCACTTCTTGCCGTGGGGACGGGCACCGCACCACGCCGGGGACCTCGGCGCTTGGCCCTGTCCAACAGCGGCAGAGTCACCTCTGCTCTTCCCACCTGCGGATGGGGATGCTCCCAACGGGATGGGGATACCCTGCTCTGCCCATCGCTGCCACGCGGCCGCCTGCTCCGGGCAGGGGGACGAGGCACGGTGACATCCATCCTGTGATGATGGCATCTGGAACAGGCCCGGGAGCGGAGCATCCCCGGGGCAGGGAGATGTGGGGTGGCTCTCACCTTGGGGACGGTGGGGGACAACTCTGAGGTCTCCACCAGCGACAAAGCAATAGAGCAGCCACCCATTGAACCTCAATACTAATGAATGTCTGCTGAAATATCATCTTTTTTTCCCCATAGAGCAGCCGACGAACGTATGTTGTGTACCCTCACCAGCGCAATCAGCTTCTCCGTATAAACTACTTACCTGGAAGAAGGCAACTATTTCTCCGTGACAGCTATTGGGAAGTTCTTAAGAAAATGCTGAGGCACCGAAGGAGTGAAAAGCAGAGGGACCTCGGGGTGGGGGCAGCCTGGCCGGAGGGTCCCGGCGCTTTTATGGACCACCGTAAGCTTCAGCTGTCAAAGTTAACGAGAAAACATCCCGTGGTCTTGAGCATAACACCCCTTCAAAGGGCAGGGTGTTGCCTTCTGCCCGGCACTCACCTTGGGGAGAGTGCCGCCGCGTCACTAACATAGGGAATAAAGAAAGTTTAGGGTCAGGGTGTTGTAAATAATCAGAGTAAATGACTTCTTTTCACGTTATGTGCTCGTCGTTAAATAAAGCCAAGAGCGTCTGGAGTTAGTTTGTGTTGGCCGCGGAGGATGAAAGGCGAGGCGGGGGTCAGCGTTGTATGGAAATGAAGTCAAAGCTGCCTGTCCGTGACCTAGGGAGGCCGTTTCAACGTAAAACCTTCCTACTCCTATAGAACCAAGTCTTTCAGTTCCGAAAATCTGTTGTTATCGCCTAAGGATGAAGAAATCCCAGAGGGAGGGGTCAAAACCGTTCTTATTTGACATTAAGCCTTAATTCTACTCGGAGCGCGCCGTGTATCATATATGCTATACCTCCTATGTTGTGTCACGTGATGAATTTTTATTTTTTTATTTTTATTTTTTAAGAACTTGTATTTGATTGCGTCCCGAACTCTCCTGCATCCGTGTGCCTCCGGAGCAGCCCTCAGCGGGGATGTCAACCGCCTCTGCTTGCGGCAGCGCGGGCTGAGCTGCTCTCTGCCATATATCGCCCTCAAACCTCCGTTCTGGCTACGCACACGTGTACGTACACACACACACACATCCACACCTCTGTGTGTGCGCACTGCAAATTATTCTGCTCCGATGCCCACAAGCTGAGGACCATCCCAGCCTGTGCTGACCAGGGAGGTTTAATGCCAACCCAGGGACAGGAACACCCCCCCCCCATTTATTTCTAGGCAGGAGGAGATGTGACAGCCGGGGACCCTGATGAAGCCATCACCTCTGGCTGGCCGTCCCCCTCCTCCCCCCGGGGTGGTCTGGCAGAGCATCCCCTGGGAAACCCCCCTGTGGTGCCTGGGGAAGGGAAGCCGGCGGTGGGGACGCTGCTGAGATGTCCCCCCACTTCCCTCTGAACCCCCTCGTCTCATGGAAGCGTAGAATGGTGTAGGTTGGAAGGGACCTTAAAGATCCTCACGGCGTCTGGCTGAGCCCAGGCTCAGAATTAGGGTTTTTTTTTGGGGGGGGGTTGGATGGGTGGGATGGGAACAGAGCGGTGGGCAGGGGGACATACAGCCTCTGCCCCGAGCGATGCGGGGGTTGGGGATGCTCAGGGG